TGCCACCAAGAAACTGTTTACAAGACATACCACACAGACGGACAGACATGGCTTAATCAATTGAGAATTTCACACTGAGCAAGAGTATGTATACTTTGTGGAGTGTGTGAAGCGTCCTTTAGAGTGTTACGTCCATTATGAAAACAAACAAAATGAGTGTACCTCAATCCTTCAAAAAAAAATTCCCCCATCCGGTCGAGGTGTTTCACGCCAATTTAAAATATCTTACCGCTATTAATCAACGGCCTCTGTGGCGCAATTCTGAATGTTACATTATATTTTTATACAAAGACATTTCAATTTGGAATTATTCTCTGAATCGATCGGTACCGTATAAGGCTCAAGCACTTTTTAGGTGTTGCATGTATCCAAAGCAAAGTTCATATATTCGGTAATCATAACTAATGATAGGATGGATATAAAGAAAAAAAATTCGAAAAATTCCGCAAATAAATCAGATCAAAGTGAATATAGTATAGGAAACTGAGCTCACCCATGCTTAGCTATTAGCGGAACGTGTATACGTGTATATGTGCATTCTCGTGCATTATAGTTTGTGGCGCCAAATTAAAATTCTTGCTACATTTACGATGTTGATGCACTTCTCTCTACCACAAATACATATATGCAGCTCCGATGCAAATCAAAACATCTAAAATTTATGTTTATGTTAAGCTATGAGATCCAAATGATTCATGGCAAGCTAAGGCACTGCAAGTTAAACATTCTCTTGAAGAGGCAATCTACGGAAAAATGGTGTAATAAAAAAAAAAAAAAAAAAAAAAAAAAAAAAAAAAAAACACCATAACGCCATTCTAGATATGTTATGTGTTTGTGAAATTGAAATTGTGTGAAAGTGAAAAACAAACAGCAGGAACTACTCTTTCGTTCATATTCATGATTAACGGTCGGCCTTACGAATATTTGTCATGTTTTTCTACAATAGATTTTTTCTTCTTCAAATGATTCCCTTCTTTTGTGCATATATATATATGTGCTTCTGCTATTATAACAATGCAATGCAATGTAATGCAATGCAATGCAATGGCAGCATTTTTGTGTGTGTGTGTTTGTTCTTTTTTTTTTTTTTAACTTTTTATTTTTATTTTTTTATTTTTTTTGCTCTTCTATAGGTACACAATTACACAAAAGCACTAGCGCACACACACACACACACACGCGCTGAATACTTGTGCCCATGTTTGCCTGTCTATTTGTTTGTCTGTCTGTCAGTCTGTCTGTCTGTCTGTTTGTCTTTGAATGTGTGTAAAAACAATTTTTTTTTTTTACGTTTTTTTTTTTTTTTTTTTGTTTGTTGTCATTTCTGAGCAATAATATATCATGCAACCGTAATAAGAAGTTTATCATGCTCATGCATAATTGCACACACTTGCAGCACATGCTGTTAAAATGAATATTATGACGTGACATTTAATTGGCCTCATTGCACAATTTTTTCTTCTAAATTGCGAACATAATACATTAGTTGTTGTTTGTAACTTTGACGGGGACATATTGATATAGTGCTATGCACGTAAATACTGCAGTTAATTTAATCTAAACACACCCACATTCGTATCAAAGGCTTTTTCAACTAAAAAGCGTAAATATTTCTTCCGAACGAAAGTCAAAAGTCTTTGCGAAGTAGCGAAGTTATATATAAATAAATTATTCAACTGGACGTCACATCTTCAAAATTTTTCCCTTTCTATTATGAACTCCTCTCCTCTATCGTGCAGGATAAACGATCTCAAAGACAGGATTCTTCAATTTCTAAACGAACTGCTACCCTTTGCCCATTCTTAGAAATTCACGTTGAAAGTGTGCATAGCTCATAGGTGTTATATGAAAAAACTAAAAATGCGCTTAGAGGAAATCAATGCACTATAATAAACTAGTATCCGACATCGATCTACAATTAGATCGCAATATTTCTCATCATATCTCTTTCGTAAAAGTTGATCTAGAAAAAGGCCGAATAAAAGGAAATTTTTATGCTCCTGGCTAAGGATATTTATTTTTTAATTTTCAATATTTATTCGATCCTTTTTAAAGCTTTAATTGTTATGATGAATAGTCGATATTTAAAATGAAATGAACAGCACTTTATATAAATCTTGTCAACAATGATTGAGATTCGCACAGTAGTAGGAAACTTAGCTCGCATATATTTTTTAGTTAACGCAATCGCGTTATAGAAACTGCAAATATCTTTGTCAAATTTTGTTATCGATTTCGTATTTAAGATAGACATTTAGAAAAGGCAAAATTATTTCATTGATAATGAAATAATTTTCATAATGAAAGATTCACTCACTCGATATTTTATTTATTTCACGGGTTTCGTGCATATTTCACTTAAAGGGGAAAATTAATTTATTAACTATACCTTGAGACATAATGGTACGTTAAGTTTGTGCCGATATATATACACTGAGATGGATCCACCTTTTCTGGATTGATCTAAGTTTATCTTCTCACCTGTCTGCCTTGCACTCTTGTCTTTATAGAGGTATAGTTCGCAATTTTCAGATATTTTGATGAAACTTGGTAAATTGACAAGTAGTCAGTTAGACGGCTCGATGCGCATATCTCAACTTCTTCTTTCTCTGGGCGTAAACCTAATATAGCCTTGTACCGCAAGTGCCGCATCTATGTGTCTGCTTGTCTAATGTCTGTCCATTCAATGCTTCTGTTCAATCCACAGGTCACAATTTTTCGAGATATTTTGATGAAATTTTGTATACCGACATTCAAGGTTCGGCTTCAAGCACCAACTTTATTGATAATGGTTCACATAGGAGCACTTTTTTGAGCGCTTTCCATAAAACATATTACTGTATGAATGGTCATTATATGAAAAAATATTAACCTATCTGAGTAAATCTATTAACCAAAGTGGTCGTGGCCGTTTCATGGCCGACCGTGGCCAAGTATAAAATTTTTACTTGCTATCTATTAATTCTATAAGTTAAATATGCTCTTATTTTTCCTAATTCCGAATCTAATCGGACAGTAGCGACAGGAAGACTTCTATGACTTAGTGTGCTATTCAAAAGTTGCGGGAAAATGATTGATTGCTGCCGAAGCTGCCGTGAACAGATAGAGCGGCAGACATCAGCTTAATTATTAAAAGTCTGATTAAAAATGTATAGGTTTATGACATCTTCTTCTCTCTCGACATCCCCAACTGATTATAATCAGATCTAAGCAATATGATCGTTACGTCATTCTATCGATATTTATACATAATAAATCCGGCTTATCATAACTCATTACATATCAATTAAAGCTGAATATATGCCACCTATCTTAGGCACAATAAAATTTAAAAATTTTTAAAGAATTTGAACTCTACTTACGAGTAATGTGGTTCACATCAAAAGTATGTTACACACATTTTCGGAAAAATTTTAGCATACATTTTATTACATTCAGCCCACTATGCTACGTAAGGAAGTTTCATTTTTATTACATTAGATGGGTAAGTGAGATTTACCTAACGAGTTTACACATTTTTCGTAGCATAGATTGCATTGGTCTAAGGTATATGTAAGAAAATAAAATAAATCCCTGGGACTTATTGATTTTAGCATCATTTAGATAGGCAATGATTAGTCCGGTGTTAATTATATAGCAATTTTTGAGATTCAATGATCATCACATTACAACAACAATAAGTAGACAAGAAATTTTACTATAAGAGCTACAAGATATAAGCAACGAGATTCAACGATTCCAACATTATTTAGATAGGCGGTGGTCTATTCGATTTCGCCACAACATACAATACCATCTCAATTTCACCGAGTTCAGCAACTTCGACTTGGACTTTGATTTTTTGATAACTACGTGCATGTATGTGCATATTATGCATAAGTTACAATTTGATTAAAATAAGTATAAATTCGACAGGATTGCAATGAAATTCAATGTTATTTTATAAATCAAATTGAATTCCAATCTCAAGGCTTTAAATCCATAGATGTTTCATCATCGATTCAAAGTAAAATGCACGAAAGAATTCAAGAAATGGATTGATTGGCTTTTATTGCAGCAACGAGACCCTTAACTTACAAATTCACTTAACGCAAAATAAAGCTATAAAGCTGTTGTAAGCAGCTTTACATGTAACTCCGTTGTCACTTGCAGCACTTTTTCTGCTCTTACCGAAGATTATGTAACCTTTGTAACTGTATTTGATATAAAAGACAGCGGCACGGTATGTTTCACCACAATGCTGACGACTACACGTTCTCCACATACATATATTTTCGGTAATATTGAACACACACATACACACACACACACATTTGTGTACTACGAAACGAGAAAAGACCTATTACTAGTTAAGTGGACTAAAGTCGTGACAATTTCAATTTGGTAACTTCTCAGTTTCAGTCAAAAACTATAATTTTTTTCCTTTTTTTATTATTAATAATAATAATTATTTA